CCCTGTTTGCATCAGACATTGTGCTCTCTGAATTAAGACAGCAGAAAAATGCTTACCTCTTTGAATAAGCATTTAAAAATATTCCTTTTATATTTATATAATTTATATATTTGTTAATTTTAGATTATTGTAATTGGAACATATCATTTTGAAAATGTTTGTTTAGAAATCAATTCAAAAGGTAGTGGACAAGAAGTTGAACAACTAAAATACATGGACTTCCTTTTTATAGCACTAGATACTAATAGTCGTTATGTAGTATGTTTTAGCCTGCACAATTCTGACCTGTACCACGTTGTGAAGATACCTCTATATTCTAAACCTCGGAAGACAGAAGTACATACAGTATATGTGGAATTTCACATCTTCCTTCAGACTTTAAATGCTAATTTTATTGGAGGAGCTTGCACCTTTGAATGTTCTTTGAAACAGATATATGGCGCCATACAAATGCTGTTCATCATCATCATCATCATCAAATAATATCAAATTACACCAAATGAAACTGATTCCTAGTTTCTTCAAAATTTTAAAAATGAGGAGGGGTTCTATGTTATTTGTTTTTTCTGTCCATAAAAATGGTATTTTGGCTATTTTATTTACATTTAGACAGTACTACAAAGGCTAAAACATGGATGAATTGCAGTATTTTAATGAGTTTTGTTGACCCCATCGTTCCTACCGTGTAGAAGTACTCAGACTAATATATATTCAATTTTAGAAAGAAAAAATTCAAATACAAAAACTTGAGCCCCCCCCCTCCCCCGCCAAAAAAAGGGGGGGGGGGGCAGTAGGAGGGGATGAGAAACTGAAAAATATTTGTTATTTGGGCTTTACTAGTTTTATGAACAAACCAACATTTCCCAGTAAGTGATTCTTGTTTTTGGACAACACAGGATAGTACAGTGGCGTATTACCTGAATTAATGTTTTTAGTTCCAATAAGAAGGATTGGATAAGAGGTATAACCATGGTAACGGGAGTGCAGTATTATAGTCTGTGGTTGTTCAATTAAGGATGTGCATATTTTCCATGGTGCATAATACACCTCTAGAGATACATTTGCACTTACATGAACAATATTTGCATCACAGCCAATTTGAAAAATGTTGGTCTCATGAGAGTGCTTATAACATTGTTAGTATAATGGTTAGACTACCGGTAGATTCATGAATAATCCTGACATGTTTGAAGTGTATTGAACATAGTAGTTATCGTCTTGCTGTAGTTGCAGTGCTGAAATGTTATCAAGTAAAAGTACATTTCGTCATACGGCTGGCGGAAGGGTTCTGGTATGTTGTGCTGTTCTGCTACATGACTTCAAACATGGATACGCACAATTGCAGGAAATACAAAGTTTAAAGGGGTCATGAATTTGGTCCAAATGAACATATTGGAAGCATATGCGATCCTACAATATTCAATGATCGTTGTCGCGGTTAAATTCGAGTCTAAAGTGATGAAAGTGTAAATAATAAACTCTTTATGTTGTATAGCTCCCTCTCAAGATTAATATTACTTTAGCTTTAAAACGATGTCTCTTGACTAAAATCAACTGATTTTCTATTCCCGTTTGGAAATTATCTATCAGAGCTGCATATTCCGAGATTTTTGTGGTCGCAGCTACCATTGTATGGCCGTAGGTGCTAGTTGAAATTCAATGGGAGCACCGATGTTGACAAATGTAAAATGTGAGAAAGCAAAGAGAAAGTACATGTATCACTCAAAGTACAATTATAGATAAAGTTTTGGGTTTCGGGATAAATAAAGGATTTAAAGGTATAGACCAGTTCTGGTCATGCGATTGCATTATGAAAGAAACTTTGTGGAATCGATCAGAAAAGGTTGATCATTTAGCATATAAGTATTGGTGTGTACTGCAAGATTCTGGAATCATCAAAATGATAAGAAATTTGGCCCAGTCTTGATAAAGTTACAAGCACTGTACACAGAAAGATGTATATGGGACTACCCCCACACGTGCGCGACACATGCATTATATCTATCAGGTCCAAATAGATATAATAATTTACCGAATATATCAATTAGTAGGTGGTTTCTCAGCAAAATTTGTATGATCACGTATTAGTCAAAGCATATTCTTTCACATGATTGGTAATAGAGCTTCCATTTCATTTTTTGAGAGGGGGGGGGGGGCATTTCCAAAATTGGTCTTTACCTTTAAACGAAAAGAGTTTCAAATATTGGTATTATCCTGTTGCAATCCTGTCTTTATGCTTCCAGTGCTGCTTTATTAATTCTTTGAAGCTCACAAACGAGATACTTTACATGCATTAAAACCTTCTGTTATTTGATGCATGAGTGGTCTGAATTCATCTAAGGATTGTATTACAAACATTTAATTTGTGCAGTTCGCCAAAAATTCAGGTTGCACAGCGGAAATGGCTGAGAGTTCTATACAAATAAACATGCTGAAATCCATCAGGTTCATTCATCTTGACTTAGATCTACATTGTACCCTGAGGATTGTGAGTAGTAAGAGAGTAGAAGCATATTTGAAGAGTAGGAGCAGACTATTTGTAAACCTTCTCGTTTTAAAGATACGGTAAGCTTAAAGGTATAGACCAGTTCTGGTCGTGCGATTGCATTGTGAATCTGAATCTGATCAGAAAAGGTTGATCATTTAGCATATTGTGTACTGCAAGGTTCTGGAATCATCAAAATGATAAGAAATTTGGCCCAGTCTTGGTAAAGTTACAAGCACTGTACACAGAAAGATGTAAATGGGACTACGCTATATCCATCCAGACCAGATAGAAGGCTGGATAGATATGATAATTTACCAAATATATCAATTAGTAGGCAGTTTCCCGGCAAAATTTGTATCATCACATAGTAGTCAAAACATATTTTTTCACATGATTGGCGATAAGAGCTTCCATTTCATTTTTTGAGAAGGGGGTGTTTCCAAAACTGGTCTTTACCTTTGAAAGCTAAAGTTCTGGTATTGATAGAAAATAGATTCTCACATCACCTAACAAAACTCACAATGAATGTTCAAGATTACAAATAAATGGCATGGACCAAACGATTTTGGTGGAAAGTGTATAGGGGCTGAGTAATGAGCATAGACAGATAAGGAGATCAAGGTGAGAAGGCCTGACGCTATGTGCACATGAGAGTTCTGTTGTAGTTTTTTTGTTGAAGATGAATGATTTCCAGCAAGCTTTTATTTTACTGATGAGCGTATCGGTCGGGTGGAGATACAATATCCCGAGTCTGAATATAGCAGGTTATTTGGCAAACTGGAGCTGATGAAAACAGGCCTTATGGTGGCCTGATGTAAACAGGCCTTGTGAGTGGTGATGTAAAACCTAAGTGGATTAGTGCATGGTTTGATGGTTTTAATCATTGACACTCATACAGCGTGTCCACACACAAAACAATTTATCCCGAAACTCTATAACGAAACGTCGTATAAAGAATCATCGTATAAATTTCAGAGTGTCCACACACAAGAAACGTCGTATAAATAATCATCGTATAAATTCCAGGATGTCCACACACAGAAGAAAGTAATCCTGAAACTCTACAGCGAAATGTCGTATAGGTGCGCAGTTTGCTACTGCGGTCATGAAATGGAAACGGAAATGAGAGGTCAGATCTCCTTTTGCACGAGGTCACGTTAAGCCCCCCCCAGTTAGTTACGCTAGTTACACTAGTTACGTCCACACACAACACCTTCTGTGATTAGGCGTGATTAGGCGAGATTCGTTATTGAGTTCTAGTTCAAAATGATGCCCAAAACTGCGTTTCGTTAGACTACGTTTTGTTATACGACGTATCGTTAGTGAGCGTCCACACACACAATTTCATCGTAAAACTATTGCGAAACAGTATAACTAGTCCGGCCTAATCACGGAAAATGTTGTGTGTGGACAGGGGGAAAGTGATGTGATAGGAACTCTGGAATGAATGTATCATCTCATCCATGACATGGTATGATGAGGCGGTCAGTCAGTATGGACTCTATGGAGTGGCATCTTCATAATAATGTCTAGGTAGTAAAATCTACTGATCATATTGAGAGAGAAGAAAAGTCAGTGTGCATGTCTTTTTAATCACGTAATATCTGTTTCTCTCTATCACCCCTCTCTCTCTCTCTCTCTCTCTCTCTCTCTCTTACTCTCTATTATGTCCATCTCTATCTTTATCTTTTTATGCTAAACTAGTCTTCTTCTAGCCTCATTCTCCTTCCATCTCCCCTATCTCCCGCCATCTCCTTTCCTCCCTTCTCTCACTGTAAATCCTTTCTCTTCTCTTTCCCTTGTTCTCCCCTCTCATCCTTCCTTCCCACCTCTCCCTCTCTCTCGATCTCTCCCTTTCTGTCTCTTTCTGCCTCTTTCTCTTTCTTTATCTCTCTCTCTCTCTTACTCCTCTCTCTGTTCATCCATGTTATAATATGAGTTCGCACCATTCTTATTCTCAGCAAACCATGATTGTATTCAAATTCAACCCTTCTGTCTCTCAACGGACAAATTGCTGTAAAGGTGATGAATATACAGCAAAACCTGTCTATAAAGACCACCCAAGGGAGACAAGAAAAATGGTCTTTAAAGGCAGGTGGTCTTCATGTACAGGTTCCTTTCAGTAGTACATGTTTCAATGAGAAACCATTTTCTTCAAGGGAAACAAAAGAAATGTGGTCTTTGTATACAGGTGGTCACTAAAGCAGGTTTTATTTATTAGTTTTTTTTTAGTAGGGTGGCTCCATCAGTAGTTAAATACTGTTTTCCGTGGAGGCCCTACAACACAAATACAAAATTTACAAACATACAGAATGTAAATAATCCAAATCGAAACAAAAATGAATTTAGTTACAACATTTTCGAACAAAAGAAAAGAAACAAAAACAACACAATGGACCAGTTCAATGATTTAAATTATAGCGCCAAAACAAAGGAGTAGATGAAGAATTTGATGGTTTGACTGAGTGTCTAATGATTGTATTTCATTTTTCTTTTTTCTTTGTTATTATAGGAGATGTGCAACCTGATGGCTGGGTCTGTAGCAGTCAATAAATTAATCCAGATACAGCCTCATAACTTTGAGATGGAACGAAGCGACGGTGAAGGTGAGACAGCTACCATCACTCCCCCCTGCGCTCATACAGGACCAGCTCCGGTTCAGATCAGATTACTATGCTTCGTAGAGAGAGAAGGCCAGGTAAGATACATTTAGTCACTTCGTTATACAAATAATTCATGTTTGCGAGGGCATTAATGAATGTGCACTCCATGTAGATTAAGTCAGATAAAGCTTATTATCAGGTCCATTGTGACTTAACCAAGTGCAGTGCATATCACTTAGGCATGAGCAGCATTACATGAAATATTTGTTTTATGAAATATAAATATATGCATTGCAAGTAGGCAATATGACTTTTAGTCCACAAGTAAGCAAAATACCTCATCAGAATGCGAAGAGCCGCAAAGTCGTTTGCCTTAAATGGCACCCCAGAACATAAGCATAGCCAATCAGTGTGGTACATGTTTCAGTGTGCGCATCAATGTCCTTGCCGTTTGAAACTAAGTGCATTTCATTGTTAATTATGTATGCGTCAGAGACATGCATCTCAGCCGAGCATTATCACTTTTAGTCGTCGGTTATCACTTTCTGACGGGAATTTTTTTTAAAAGGTAGGCGAGCCTACACCAACACAACACAGACACCATGGCCTCATCTTATAACGAGTTGCAATTGATTTGAATGAGTCGCAACTTGAAATTATTCACAACTCCTATCTCGTAAGTATACAGTTGCGATTAATTTTAAGTTGCGGAAGACTTGAATCAATCGCAACTCTTTATAATACTAAGACAACCCGCATTTCGCAAGTTACTATTGATATCAATTACAAATAAGATGTGATTGATATCTACTCTTTGTGAGATGGGTCCCAGTTGATATTGTATGTTATAAACTGAGTGGGATGCACTCCACTCCACGTTACCTGAGTTTCTCCCTTACTCTTTCACAAAGAGATCAGTTGGTTCTAAATATCCATTTTAGTTGGTGACTTTCCTCCATACAGGGCCACTATCTAATGTCCTATTCAAAGAATAGAGTGTTTTACACTATAAAGTTTTTTTCACTGCTTTTGCATACCGGTAACACAAATTGAAGGCTTTAGTTGAACCCATGGACTGGGATCAAACCTGTGATGTATGATTCAACAGGTAGATGATAACAACTGAGGCAATGCTTCTTTCATTTCATTATTCAATTCAATTCAATTCAATTTCAATTCAATTCAATTTCAATTCAATTCATTTATTTTCCTCTTTCAATCGTTCATATTTACAATGATATTTATATACATATAGATCAATTTGCACAATACAATACATTAAAAATATAAACATGAAATTAAAAGGGAAGGAGGGCCGACTAAAAAGCAGAGCTTGTAGGGTGTAAGCCCCCCTGTAAAAGTAATTATTATGAATTATTATTTTATGAGAAAAACAAAACAACAATAACAATAACTGATTCAGTAATACAAACAAAATCATTTTTAAATGCAAAACATTGATAAATACATACATGTTTATAAAAAGAAACAATCAAAGTTGCATAAAGTCACACTACAAATTATATTTGATTGGGGAGTGCAATAGCCTAGTAACTATTCAGAAAAAAAGCATCCTTTTGAAAATTTGTATCGAATTACACTGTATAATATCATTCGAAAGAGAATTCCACAGTTTTGGATCTGTAAAAAAAAAAGTCTTTTGTGCAAAAGATGTTCTATTTAATGGTAGATGAAAAGATTCAACTAAGTATGCAGGTTACTTTGCCTTTTCTCTCTTGTCCTTTTCCTCTATTCTTTTTTCATCTCTTTCCTGTATTCCTTTTCTACTACTCTCTACTTCTACTTCCATTCTTTGCCTGAATCTCTCATTCTGACCCCCTTCCATTCTCTTTAATGAGAATCATGATTAATACAATTGAAATAGTAAAAAAAAAACATTTTAATCACCCAGCATTCATATTTTTTTTGTTCCATATTTAGATTTGCTTTTACCAATACTATATTACATTGGTGATAATCTTTTGATCAGTGTAGCTGATTGTGTGATCACTCACTCCCTTTGTTTGAAATTAATGATAGCTCAATTAAGACTGATTCGTCACTGCTTCTATACATGTAGACATTGCTCACAGGCATAGAGAGAGAATTTCAAAATATGATTGTAATTGATTAACTTCATTATTTACTCTGGATGGGTAACTTGAGCTCTCTTCATCATAGAATGAATGTAGGGCAGCAGACTTTATGGCTGCTGGCTAGTCTGCTTTTAATGTTTAATGTGCACCAATCACCTAATGAAATCATTTATGTACAGCTAGAATGAATAAAATAAACCTTACAGAAAAACAAAAACATTTACTTGGCATCCAATAGATTACATAGAAATGTGCAATGAATGCAAGGGATGACTATTGGAGCAGAATTGTATCGGTCTAAATGTGCGTTGTGGTCCAGGGATAAGTCCCCTGATAGTGAACCACAAGGTACACGGTTCAAATCCATGTCACACCACTAATGTCCTTCGGCAAGACATTCATCTACATTTTCCACACTCCACCCAGGTGATGTACATGTTGTAAACGGTATTAATTCTTTAAAGTGCAAGAGCGCTGTAATGGCAGCCATGTTAAAGCCAGGGTCATAATAATAGAGTGCCAGGAGTGGCAATGTGCCAGGTTATTGTCTATAGTTGCACAAATGAAGTCTGAAAGAATCTCAATATTCATAGATTGAAATAGATCGAAGGACAGGATTTACACATTAAAATCCAAGATGATTGTGTCACCAGAAGCCAGAAGTTCATTGACTATTTATTAAGTGCACTATTCATGGAGTCAATGCTCTCCATTCTCTCAGCATCAGATGCTTAATCTTGTCAATGTTTGCAGAATTTACATGACTGTATGTGCGGGCTTAGACTTGGAGACTCGGTTGCCTGTTTGTTTCATGTCTATTGAAGCAAATGAACTCATAAAATGAACATGTATCTCAAAATAGCCTACAATCAGAAATAAAACCATCTAAACCCCATATATTCATGGGTAAGATGTCACACGCTTCATTTCAATTAAGGAAATGAGTCTTAACATGTTTCTGCCTGGATGGCTCTCTCTCTCTCGGCAATTTATTGGTAACTTGTAACCATGGCAACCTTTTAACAATAACAGTCTCCATGTACGTGCCGAACGGGCGAAAATTTGTTTGTCCAATTGATCATAGGATGAATCCTAGTCATCTAAACGCAGCAAGGGGATTGATCGAGAGCCTCACATTTCTAGGTCGATGATGAAGACGATGAAAATAAGGGTGTTATTGTTCAGCTGTATGGGTAGATCTATGCACATCTTTATTTAGCCTAGCTGCGCGGAGTTAAAAATAAACCTGTTATCTGGTTTAATACCGCTTTTTCTGAAATGTGATCGTGTTAAAATGAAATTTCATTTCCTATTTCTAATGTCTGGGGGCTAGACTCCTGTGGGAGATACATGTAAACCTCGTTGGAGATTCTTAAATAATACTGACCTGGTTTAAGTATATTTATTTTTGTCCATCCTTTTAGATTTTTGTCTACAACATTACTGAGTTGGTTTTGCCTACAGTATTCCGGTTGATCAGAGATACTATTTTATTATTAATTCAATGAAGTAGTGTAATTGGGCATTGATCTAAAAGTGTTTTTAAATGGTGTAGACAATTACATTGTCTGTTTGGAATCAGAAGGGCTTTAACTCAGTTCATTTCACACAGAACTCAAGCTCTTCTGGCTCTAAGCGGACGATTCTCAACCACTTGTCAAATGTTTGAATATTTAATTTCATTTATTTCACTCTTTTTAAAAAACCTCAAAAGTATATACATGTTTGTTTGTTATGATGAACATAAGATAAAAGCAAGTGAGGATGCATAAAGGCCACAATTGGCTTGATTAGAATGATTCCCAAATAAATACATATCATAAACAAGATACAAACTTTGTATATAAACAAACAATGTATATACATTCTCAACAACAGAGGACAGAGGAAAGATATAGATAAGATATTAAGGTAAAGACAGTTACAGGAAGATAAGGAGAAAGAGAAGATAAGATAAAAGAATTTACAACTTGAGTTGAAGAGGTTTTATAACGTGTACATCAAGGAAACTGTGCATTGGTCTGCACCTACATGTTGGATCCCAATGAGATGCGTAAGGGAGCGGAGAGGGTTGATGGTCATCATGATTAAAATAGACTTCCCCCCTCTAGGCACAGGTGACTCCCAAGCAATAATAACATTCTGACTAGCTTCAAGGGGCAATAGTATGTAAATATTGACTGGGATAATCCAAACTATATTGCCTAGCTACAATATATATGTGCACTTGCCCATACAGGTTCATCTAAGGACAAAGGTATATGGAGCTCCTGGTAGCAAAATAAAGACTATATGAAGGAAATAATGAGCAATTTGTTATGCAGTATTTTATCATCACTGTAATTGTCTATGCTTATGATTATTTATTTTAGTAAATTGATCTGTAAACATTTAACATTGAAAAAAGGAATATTGAATGTATGATAGATGCTTAATTTTTGTTTCTTAAGGAATGCATTCAAACAGATGTAATAATGAAAAGGAATAAAGCTGAGAGCCTTAAGGCCCGTAACTATCTATAAAAAGAGATATCACCCGTCCGGCTCTTGACAAACAAAGTGGTAAATCCATTATATTTCTATATGTTAGTGCTGTAAATTATTATTGTCTCTCTCTTACATTCTCATTCTCTCTATCTCTATAAAAAAAAAAATTCTCTCTCTCTCACTCTCTCTCTCCCCCTACTCTCTCTCCCCCTCTCTCTCTCCCCTCTCTCTCTCTCTCTCCCCTCTCCTTCTCTCTTTACCCTCTCCTTCTCTCTCTCTCTTTCTCTCTCTCTCTTTCTCTCTCTCTCTGTCTCTCCCCCTCCCTCCCTCCCTCTCTCTCTCCCCCTCTCTCTCCCTCCCCCTATTTCTCTCTCTCTCCCTCTCAGGGATGGTTGAATGAAGCTGAAGAGATAGCTTTCCAGCAGATGGGTAAGAGCTCCAAGAAAGCCAAACAAAAGATAGAGAAACCTCCCAGCCCCATGTCTAAAGGTCTTCTTATACACATCCATGGAGGAGGCTTTGTAGCACACACATCCAAGTCACACGAGGTATGTATAACATGTAGTTCTGTTTGTGGGTTTATTTGTTTGTGATGATGTCTATTTCTGTATTTTTAGCAAGGTATAAGGTAATTTGTAGCAGAATTGCAACCAAGGATGGGAAAGAGAAGAAGAGGAAGGCAGAAGAGAAGATGGAGAGATGACCTAACATCATACATGGGAACGGCCGCTTGGACTAGGACAGCTAGAGACAGAAGAGAATGGAATGTTATGAGGAGGGCTTTGTCCAACGTCTGGATGAACTATAGCCTGATAGATAGATAGAAAGTAATTTGTTTTCATTTTGATGTTCTGAAAAGTTTTGACGGCATGCATCTAACCTGCTTTAGCGACCGCCTTGATAGAAAGACCACCTGCCTGTAAAGACCAAATTCAACCTTTGACCTTACTCTACCAAATATCTAATCTTGACCCTGAACCAAGCTAAACTGGCTCAATGGCCATTTTTGTGTTGATGCAGCAAACTTTTGTTTTTCATTTATCTGATGACGTAAAGTGTAATTTGTGTTGCATTTCTGTGCATACATTTTATAACCATGATAACACCTAGCTCAGTAAATGTCTGCAGGTTTTTTGTTGCTCACAGTTCCCATTCATTTACACATTTTAAAAACAGTGGTGTATTTTTTGCGCATATCTGAACGACCCTCAAAACCCCATGATAGCCCTATTCCTATCCCTATATCTTTGAAGAAACAAAGTCCAGGGGAGTGTTTCACAAAATTGGTCATCAGTGACAAAAGACAGTTTTTGTTAAAAAAGCTAGTGAAATCCTTGGTTCTAATTGGTTAACAGCAGATTTGTCACTGATTTTTGTCATTTGTAATTGAAGGCTTTGTGAAACACCCCCAGAGCATGCACTATGTCAGATAAGCTGCTGTGTTCATATCTAAAGTAGATAGTAAAGAATCTTTTTTTTTTGGTATTTATTTTTTAACATTTTTTTTATTGGGTACTCAACATAAAAACCAACAGTCATGTACAGGAATGTGAAATGACAAAAAAATCATGAAGACCACTAAAACTCAAATACAACTTTTTCTTTTAATTAGGCTTAACTTGTCATGCTTAGCTGCAATTACATATTCAGATTTAGACTTAATTTTATATCAAAAGATATAAGCCCATGAAAATTTTGTTTTTCTTTCTTTAGGGTAAAGACCAGTATTGGAAACGCCCCAATTTCACAAAATGAAATGGAAGCTCTTATTACCAATCATGTGAAAGAATATGTTTTGAGTAATACATGATGATAAAGATTTTGCCGGGAAACCGCCTACTAATTAAATATTTGGTAAATTAGTCTATCTACATGGTCTGTGAGAGATAAACGCACATGTCGCGCACGTGTGCGTATAGTCCCGTATACATCTTTCTGTGTACAGTGCTTGTAACTTTACGAAGACTGGGCCATATTTCTTGTCATTTTGATGATTCCAGAACCTTGCAGTACACACCAATACTTATATGCTAGATAATCAACCTTTTCTGATCAATTCCACAACGTTTCTTTCACAATGCAATCGCATGACCATTACTGGTCTTTACCTTTAAATTTGCTGCAATATATGTAAAATCTGGTACACAATAGGAAGATAAAAATTGATGTTGGTTACAGTGATCATGATGCTGGACTGCTGAGAAGACATGTATGTTCTTACTCATTCATTTTGGTTCTTACTGGTTCCTTCTGGTTCTGAGTGGTTTTTACTGGTGGTTTTGAGTCCATAACAATTTGGATATGTGACATTGCATTAGACGGGATTCCCCTAAAACATAAAATGTGATTAGAGAAGTGAATTTCATTCTAGAGCATTGTATTATAGAGGTAATGGCATACTCAGGGGGCTCAGGGGCACAATCCCCATCCCCCATGCCAATAAGACAGAGAGGAAACGGGGGGGGGGGGGGGGGGAGAGAAGCAGAAATAATATCAGGAAGAAAAGGGGGAGGAAGTTGATCTTTTACTATTATATTTGTTTGCTTTTCTTTTTGCTTGTGACATAATTTTTTGGATGTTTGCATCCCCCCCCCCCTCCCTGCCAACCAGAGATACGTTGATATGCCTCTGAGAAGATGGCTGTGAAATATATCTCAATGTTACATGATGTAGAGGCAGGCAAAGGTGATTGCATTGCCCTGCCAACCCCTCTCCTATGATAGAATAACACTTTCAGCAGTGTTTACAGAAATTCAACCCTTCTCCAAGTTTCTTCCTGTAAGGCACATCTTTTCTTTCTCTTTGAATTCAAGATTCAAGCTCCCTGGCGAGGTTCTGCTTTTTCAATTATCTTTAATGATTTTATTCCATTTCAATTGATTTGAGTCAAATAGCAACCAATCTTTACCAGAAGGGAAAAAATAAATTGTCTGATGAGAGATAGAAGGGGTCAACTCTGTTCCATAAGCAAAGTTCAGTTTCTGTAACGTAATAGATGGATTGAGAAAAAGACAATAAGATAGAGAGGTATATATGTTGGTAGATGGGGGGGGGGGGGGGAGGGTGCAAGCGAAAGAGAGGGGGGAGAGAGAGAGAGAGATAAAGGAAGGGAGGGGGAGGGGGAGAGAGGGAAATTAGAATGTAGTTGTTTGGCAAGTGAGAATCAAAAGAAGTAGCTGCACGCACCAAATCTGCTTTGTATACTTGTCTATCTGCACATTTGTCATTATCAAAAGCTGTAGTTTGATACAGAAAACTTTTCATTCGTTGGGGGTGATTAGAACATGTAATTTTTGTTTCTAACCAACCTTAATATTTAGAAGGCAATCTGTGATCCACTCCTGTGGACTCTCTCAAGCCAGGTGATTCTTCACTGGGTTTTTTGCTGCCTGCTGCCTCAAGATAATAATAATAAATAATACATTATATTTATATAGCGCTTATTATGTATTATGTATTATTATTATTATTATTATTATTATTATTATTATTATTATTATTATTATGTATTATGTGAAAGAACCTTTCAAACTTTGTGGGTGGATCCATTATCATCTTGTTTCTGTAGGGATTTCAGTTTTCTCTCAGAATGACAAACTGTTCATTTGAGGAGAGAGATTTTCATCACCTTTATCCTTTTTTTTAGATAACTTTTACTCCCACACTAATAAGCTAATCTATCATTTTAGTCCAAAGAAAATTGGATTTATAGCTTATTATCTTCTCAATCCATCAGACTGCTTGCCCCCGCATCTCTTTACATGCTATCATGTCATTGGATATCTTTGTTTTGACATGAAATAAAGAAGATTCAGAGCAAATCTAGACCAGTATATTTACTTGCAGAACCTGTTCATAAAGACCACCAGCTGCAAGTAAAGACTTCATCGTATCTCTCTTGTGCAGTCTTTATATGCACGTTTCACTGTATTAAAGGACCCTGTATAGAAAGACCACCTGCCATTAAAGGCCTTTCTTGTATCTCCCATGGGTGGTCTTTGTATACAGGTATCTTTGTATAATGGAAACTGTTCGTAAAGACCACCTGCCAATGAAGACATCAACCCTTATCTCCCTGCAGCAGTCTTTACAATGTTGACTGTATGAAAAGGAACCTGTATATAAAGACCACCTGCCAATGAAGACCATTCTTGTGTTTCCCATGAGCATTCTTTGTGTACAGGCTTATAAGCAATAAAGGAACTTGTTCATAAAGACCACCTGCCCATGAAGACCATTCTTGTGTTTCCTATAAGCAGTCTTTACCTAAAGGTTTCTCTGTATTGACAGAATGGCTACTCTCTTTGCCTCACAGCAATTCTATAGTTTCACTGTATTAACGGACCCTGTATATAAAGACCTCATCTCCCCTCTCTCTCTCTCTCTCTCTCTCTCTCTCTCTCTTCCTCTCTCTCCCTCTCTCTCTCCCTCTCTCTCCCTCTCTCTCTCCCTCTCTCTCCCTCCCTCCCTCTCTCCCCCTCTCTCCCCCTCTCTCTCTCTCTCTCTCCCTCTCTCTCCCTCCCTCTCTCCCCCTCTCTCCCCCTCTCTCTCTCTCTCTCTCCCTCTCTCTCCCTTCCTCTCTTTCCCTTTTTGCAGTATTAGGGTTTCACTGAATTAAAGAGACCATATTTTATCTTCCTTGATCGATGTTTATCTCTAGGAGTCTCTGTACTGCCAAACTAGATACCGTCTGTGCCTTAGAGCAATTCATCTCATCACCCTCCCAATCTAGTCTCATGTATCAACCCTCCTAGCCACTAGATAACACTCTGCAATACTTCAAGAGCCTACTTCATACGTTACATGGTCAACCACCACCTCAGGAACATGCAATGTGCATGTGCATGTAGCAAAATGTGGTGGTTTAATACATGTAGTACTTACGCAGCTGTGTCTGTGTTTTATTATAAGGCAATCTAATCTTTGTAATGAGGTCATTTGTATAAAAGCAGATAAATAAAAAAACAGAATGGCTAAAGTTTGAATTAAATCGGACCAATGATAGGAAAGTTATGGAAGTTATGAATGTTTTTCAAAAAAACATTTTCATGACTCGGCGCGCGAGCGACGGTATAACACACATACAAGGTATAGCGTTTTTTTGAAATCTAACACGTACATTGTGCGTGAGAGCATTTTCAGAGCCTCGAAATGCGTGATGTCACTGATACATGGTAGCTCTGCAAATATATGAGATCACTTTTAGTCTGTGGGAACACAATTTGAAGAGCCCATTCCTATAATGATTACAAATTTTTAAAATACTCAACTTTCTCATTTTTCTTTTGGTCTTCATTCAAACTTTCACCAGTCTGCTTTCTCTGAATGTCTGCTTTTCTCTCTGTGGAGTAGTTTGCTATCAAGGTTGGACTTCCCTTTGAGTAGTTTACCGGCTAAGGTTTGAAGAAGGCTTTAGGTTTGGCCCTTGTCTCCCATACTCCTATATCCTGTATGGAGACACCGGCCACGCATATGGCACAGTAAAAGAGGAGCAGCTAGCTAACTACATGCCCATCTATTCATTTTGGTGTACTGGAATGAAGTATAC